CAAGACGTAAATGGTTACTTTAATCAGACAACTTTCAATGACCCAATTTAACATCTCTCAAGTGTCAGAGAAAAAGATGAAGACCCCCAACGAGATAGATCAGCCAGGTGGCAATTGATGGACTCAAGTGTGGCAGTGGTAGTGAGGTTGGCCCAGGTTTGGACATTGTTTCATTTTGCTCTGCATGGGGTCGCTATGAGTCGGTTCCAACTCGATGGCACTTGACCACAACAATGGGAATACTTCCCAAAAGGTATTCTACAGATGGCTAAGATCACAATTCTCCAAGGGTGAGGAAAAGCATCCCCTTCCCCCATTCTCATCACGTTATCCCTTTTACTCTTCTCTTTCCCCTTTATTTTTTCTTATTTTTACTATTGGACAGGTTTGCTATTTACAGTCCATTCCAAAGAGGCCAGGACTTGTTACTCAACCTCAGGGACAAGTATTGTCTGCTTCAACAGGGCACTGGAGAACCTGGATCTGCTTGTAGGCACTAAATGTGGCTAGACCACAGTTGGTCTAGCAAGAGGGGGAAACATTGCCATCTTAGCACATCGGAAAAGTGTTAGAAGCCAGCAAGGATGAAACTTGGTGAGCAAACAGGTAACATTTTAAGCAAATGTGGTATCAGGTTTGCTAGAGAGAAAGGGGCAAACAACTGAGGATGGGCAACATTCAAAAGAGGCAAGACATTTCAGAGCAGAGAGAGAATTTTCCTGTCATTTGCAGAAAGATCAAATCAGTCATTTAAGACCCAGGCTGCCAGGGGTTCCTAATAAAGGAACCTACAATTTAGCAGAGTCAGGTTTCATCCATTAACTCTCCAGCAAATTCCACTCTGCAGAATTAATGGCCTTTGATGAGTGCTGTGCAGTATCCTCTTAGCCCTTCAGCTGTTAAACCATGGTTTCTTGCAAAAATGTAGCCCATACGCAGAAGAGTTTAGAATGAGTTATCTACATGGAGCACCCACTAGAACTGGGAATCCAATGCCTTAGCTTTACTAAAGTTGCCTTGTTACATGATCTCAGAGGCAGATATATCCCCTCTCCACTTACTCCCACCTCCCTGCTGTGGGGAATGAGCCTGGAAACTAAAGGAGGCCATCAGGGGCAGAGGGAGGACCAAGATTTGGGTGTGGCAACTAGGGGCTTCAGGCTCCGTGTCTGCAAAACAGTGAGAATATCTGCCTTGTGTATTTAAAGAGTCTGATGTGGGGACTGAGTGAGAGTGTCCAAGTATTTTACAAAATCTAACAGACTCTATACAGCTATGTGCTAATAAAGCAAAGGAGCCCTGGTGGCACAGTGGTTAAGCACTTGGCTGCTAAAAGAAAGGTCAGTGGTTGGAACCCACCCAGAGGTTTCGAGGAAGAAAAGATCTGGAGATTTGTTCTTGTAAATATTATAGACTAGGAAGCTCTATGGGGCAGTTCTATTCTGTCCCTCAGGGTCATTAGGAGTTGGAATTGATTAAGTGTCAATAATAGCAACAATAAAGCAAAGAGGAAAGAAGATGTAAAAATCTAGAAGGGAAAAGAGAATTTTCAAAAGTTGCAAAAGAGTTTTTAAACTCATTACAGGTACTTTGAGTTTACAAATTTAAATAAAAAGATGTTAAGTGCCATCAAGTTGATCCCGACCCATAGTGATCCTGTATAGGGTTTCCAAGGAGTAGCTGGTAAGCTTGAACCGCGGACCTTGCAGTTCAAACGGCTTTGCCGTCTGGCGCATTAACCCACCGAGCCACACCAGGACTCCACACTAGGACTCCATAAAAAGATGTAGGCGACTACAACTACTTAGAACCAGTCTCTAGATTTTTATTAAGAAAACCTGGGCAAAAGACAAAACCTCTGTATAGTGGGAATAATGAGCACATTCCCACAAGATTATAGCGAAGATGAAATAAAACAGCACTGTGAAACCATCCTGGAGAGGGCCTAGACAAAAACTGGCCCTCAATATGTGGAGTCCCGGAGGCACTGTAGGATAAACAAGGTCAGTGGTTCAAACCCACTAGTCCCTCCTTGGAAATCCTTACACAGGGTTTGTACCATACGGTTAAGATTGCTCTGACACAGTTTTCTAGGTTCATACACCTTGATAGACTCCCCAACATTTCCAGTTTTATCTTTGGGCCTTTGCTATAAGCAACAGGTTTGCTCTTACTTTGTCCCATGCAGGTGACCTGAGACAGAGCACAGGAATTCAGTCCTCTTAAATGGGATGATCAATGAATTAGTCCATTGCAAGGGGAAAGACACTGCATGAGACCAATGGCTGTTGTTGTTGTTAGGTGCCATCAAGTCAGTACTGACTCATAGCGACCCTATGTACAACAGAATGAAACACAGTCAACCTCACAATTGTTGTCACACTTGAGCCCACTAATGCTGCCACTTTGCCAATCTATCTCACTGGGGGTCTTCCTCTTTTTCTCTGACCCTCCACCTTAACAAACATGCTATCCTTCTCCAGCGACTGGTCCCTCCTGACCAATATTGCTATGATAAACATTCTATGATGGTTACCAGGGGTGGAAGGGTACAGAGAATTACTCACTGACTAGAGTGAAGACGCATACTAACTAGAGAGACAAGGAAGGCAATTAAAAAGAAAAAAAAAAAAAGACGAGTAACATTCTTTGTTGGGTAGTTTCTTGTTAAAGAATTGTGTTTTCCAATCTCAGTACTATTGATATATGGAGTGATATATGGGAGATGAGTGCCCAGTGCATCATAGGTTATTTATCGGTATTTCTGACCTCTACCCATTAGATGGGGTGCTGATGTGGCACCATAGGATACACACGCGACCTCAAAGTCGGTTTGAACTGAAGGGTCAGTGGTTCAAACACACCAGCCACTCCTTGGAAACGCTATACAGGGTTGCTATGAGTCGGAACTGACTCAATGGCACTTAACAACAACCCACTAGATGCCAGAAGTATCTTCTTGACCCTCTAGTTGTGATAACCACAAGTGTCCCCAAACATTGCCAAATTTTCCTGGAGTTTGCAGGAACTCCCAGTATCAAGTCTTCCCCAAGGACCTCTCTTGGGGCAATAAAGGGGAAAATAAATTCAAGAATTGAGTGGCTTAAAGTTTTCTATCACAGTTCACAGGTAGAACACAGTCATTTTAACATGGAATAATAAAGAAGAAATAATAATTACAAAATCTGGGATAATAGATAAATAAAGAACATGGAAAACTGCTTGGCCTAGTGTTAGATAACAACTTTAACTACTCTTCTTGGAGTTTAACATTAAACTCAGTTCCATGAGGCTGATAAACAGATTGTAATAAAAGAATAATGGATGCACAGATAAAATCTTCCACTTTAATATTTGTCTTCAATCTGGAATCTAGATCAAGCTGGCATATTCGGAGTATTTCACTTGATATTTAGGTTCCTTCTGCTAACAGATGGTGCAGAAAAAAACTATTATTCTATTTAGTAAGATGTTTAGACCAAAGACATTTATTTCCTACACTTTTAACTAGAGTTTTAAGGTATTTTCCTGGTCAAATAAACAAAAATTCAAGACTATTGTGTTATACAGCATGGTAGTGTTTGTCAGTTGCATTAAATCGATGACCACTATAAATTATGCTGCCCATGATCATAAGATTAAGGATTGATCTGTCTACAAGGCTTGTTTTCATCTTGTATTGCTAAACTTATTTTTATGAACAATTAAGAGTCAGAATTAATATCTAGATTTGTGAGGGCTTTAAAAAATAAACTGGCTTTCAAACATTAAAAACAAAACAAAAAACAAACCATAGTTCTATTCTGTCCTACAGGGTCTGTATGAGTCCATTTCACCTCACAGAGACCCTGTAGGACAGAAGGGTGTTGGTAAGTGCCGTCGAGTCAGTTCCGACTCATAGGGACTCTGTATAGGGTTTTCCCAGGAGCGGCTTGTGATTCTGAACCATGGACTTTGCGGTTCAAACCGACCTTGTGGTCCAGTGCATTATCCTGCAGTGCCACACCAGGATTCCATGTAGGACAGAATAGAACTGCCTGTATGGAGTCCTGGTGTAGCACAGCAGGCTAAGCACAGGACTGCTAATCTCAATGCTGGCAATTCAAACCCACTAGTGGCTCCTTAGAAACCTTATAAGGCGTCACTATGATTTGGAATCAACTCAATGGCACTTAGCAACGACAAACAATAAGGTTTTCAAGACTGTAATCTTTAAGGAAGCCGACTACCACATTTTTGACGAAAGAGCAACTGGTAGGTTCAAATCGCTGACCATTTAGTTAGAAGTTGAGAACTTTAACTACTGTGATACCAGCGTTCCTTTTACTCTGGCTTTCATAAAGGGGAAGTAACAGCATTATGAAAGTTCAGACTTTGATACCAGGTGGGCTGTGTACAAATCTCAACTTCCTATCTTTGTGCTGTGTTACTTTGGCCACGTGCTTACAATCCTTAAAGTTTTAATTTCCTCTTTCTATAAAATAGAGTTTCTGCCCCTAAAAGTTGTTTGTAGGATGAAGTGAGATAATGCAGGTAAAGCACTTAGTGTGGGGCTAAGGAAAGACTTGACGAAAGCTGTCAGCTCTGATGCACTTAGTTATGCAGCAGTCTCACACTTTGCTCCATGAGTCTTGCTAGATAAAGATGTCTAAAGGAGCATCTTACCCTTTATTTAGACCATCTCAGCAATTCAAAGATAGAACAGCTGGTCTTGAGAAATGTGACTCACCCACCTCCTCTTGGAACCCGTTGGAACCAAGCAGCACACACCCAAAACAGTGCCAGAAAGGATCCCTGAGCTTTTGCACATGGTACCAAGCTCTTTCCAGAGACTGTGAGGGCTTAGATAAACTCCTTGGTTCACAGTAATCATCCCATTCAACAAACAATCAGCTCATGAAAGATACTGTAACAGACTTGTTTCCATCCCCAAAAGCATGGGGCCAGGATTCTGCAGTGGAAGGCAAGGCAAACCCAATTGTTCTTAACATTACACTGACCTTCTGCCTTTGAGACCTGGAAGCCACAGCACTGGTGGACATAAATTCTATTGCCTGCTGCTCCAGATCCAAGGGGATAGGGTAGCCCTCTGGTAGAAATCTGTCTGTTGCCTCCTGGAAGAGAGGAAACCTGGATTCCTACAGAACTTGAAATGGCCATTTTAAGCTGAAGGGAGGGGTTGATAAAAATCAACAGCTGTCTCAACAAAGCTGGCTTGATTCGGCCTGCTGAGGTTACTAATGCTTGAGAACATCTTTGGCTGAGCTTCAAGCTTAGCATGTTTAAGCGCACAGACCCTTTAAGGCCGGCTGATGGACAATCCGGACACCACAAACATCCCAGTACGTGTATGCATGCCAGGATGATGTGGGATCTCTGGGGCCGAAAGACAACATCCTGGGGTGTGACCATGATGCACTGAGCTATTTTAAATGCCCAGAGGATGACACATCTGTAAAAGGAGAACTGTTCCAGCCAACTGAGCTCGACTCAGATTAACATGACACTCACTCACCATCCTAGAGGTTCATATTTCCCAAGGATGCTGAAGACTCCACCTAGAACCATGAAATGCTATGGAAGAAGTGTTATGTACTGAAAGCTCAATCCCCAGGGTAATAATATTAAAATGCCACAAACTAACGTCGCTACAAAGACCAGGAGAAAGATCTAGAGAATCAGCTTACTTTGTTCAGTGGCTTCTCTGGAATCTTCACAGACACCTCAGCTGGTTTTCCCTTCTTTGACGGTGTTCTCTTGATTTTGGGTGAGTGGAATTTGTCCATCAGCTTCATGGTGAAGGAGGAGAGGTGAGAACGCTGAGAGTCTGAAAAAGGAAAGGGCACGGACTGTTAGAAGGCAGAGTGGAAGAAGCTGTGGTTTGTGGACTTTTTGTGGAAATGAACAATCCTCCCAAACCAATTTTTTTTTTTTTTTTAACCTGGCTGTTCAGAATTTCAAAGGCAAGAAAATATGGATCCAGTAAAACTTTTCTCTTGCATGTCTAAATTTCTGAAATTTCCTTCTAGGTTGGTTGCTCAGAATTGTGGAAGTTGAAGGCAATCAAAACAAGTTCTAGAAACAGAATTTACAAGTATTTTCAGTAAACTTATAACGTCTATACGATGAGCTAATAAATGTTCAAGGGGAGGGGCACATAGAGGTATACGGAATAAGAACTGCAAAGAAAGATGCTTTCGAATTAATCTCAGCAGGAACTACTGCAGGTGACATGAACAAGGTCCAAGAGTTAGCAATGGAGACTAAAGCAGAACCACTGTGTTTAGACCCCTGGTCCATAACAAAAGACAGATAAGGGACTTGCCTTGTACAACAAACTTGAATAACTCTATAATAAAAAGATAAATAAGCCAATTGAAAATGGGCAAAAGTTGTCAGGCCTAGCTTTCAACAATGGTTTATCTACTAACAAAAATACAAACAGTAAAAGCAAAAATAAATAAAAGGGACTTGACAAGAATTAAAAATGTTAGTTCATCAGAAGATGTTACCCAAAAAGTGAAGACTTGGAGATTATCTTCAGAAACCATATATTCAACAAGAGTCGAATAACCAAAATATATATAAAAAAAAAACTTAGGCAACTTAACAAAAAGGCAAATAATCTATCATAAAACAATCGAACGACTTGAATACATTATCCCAAAGAAGATATTCAAATGGCCACCAAATATATGAAAAGATGCTCAGCATCAGTGGTCCTTAGAGAAATGCAAATCAAAACCACAATGAGATACCATTTCACTCCCACAAGGATGGCTAAGATAAAAACAAAAATAAAAACCAAACAAATGTTGGCAAGAATGTGGGGAAACTGAAATCCTTATTCATTACTGATGAGAAAGTAAAATGGTATAGCTGCCGTGGAAAACAACGTGGCAGTTCCTCAAAAATCAACAAATAGAACTGCAATGTTGTTTTAGTTAAGTGCTGCAGAGTCGGTTCCGTTCCACAGTAACCCTGTATAAGGTTTCCTAGGAGTGGCTGGTGAGCTTGAACCACTAACCTTGCAGTTCAAACCAACTTTGCAGTCCAGCACATTAACCTGCAGTGTCACACCAGAACTACAATATGACCCAGCAAGCAATTCCACTCCTACATACTTAAACTAGAAAGCACAGACTTTTTAAGAAACTTGTATGCCAATGTTTAACTCTAACCCAGAATCAAGTCGCTTCTGACTCAGCAACCCTTAAGGACAGAGAACTGTCCCACAGGGTTTCCAAGGCTAAATTTTTACAGAAGCAGACTGGTGGCTTTGAACTCCATCTTCTGGTTAGCAGTGCAACATTTAACTGACTGTCCCATCAAGGCTTCTTGTTCACTGTGGCATTATTCACAATAACCAAAAGGTGGAAACAATCTAAATGTCCATCAATAGATGATAAACAAGATGTGCTACAAAACATACTCAGCCAGTAGAAAAAAACAAAGTCTGGACACATGCTACAGTTTGTATGGAACTAGATGTTGCTGTTGGGGATGGAAACAAGTCTGTTACAGTTTGTATGGAACTAGGTGCCTTTGAGTTGGTTCTGACTCACAGTGACTCTGTATCGAATTTCCAAGGAGTGGCTGGTAGGTTTAAACTGGCACTACAGCACCACTATAGGACTCCTTGAAGACACTGTTGTTGTTATGTGCCATGCCATGGAGTCGGTTCCAACTCATAGTTGACCCCGTACAGGGTTTCCGAGGCTGTAAATCTTTATGGGAGCAGAACGCCTCAGCTTTCTCCAGCGGAACAGCAGGTAGTTTCGAACTGCTGACCTCATGGTTCGCAGCCCGATTCATAACCACAACGCTACCAGAGCTCCTTTTGAAGACATTATACTGAGCCAAGTAAGCCAATCACAAAAAGACAAATGTATGACCTTACTTATATACAAAGACAAGAAAAGGCAAATATAGAAGAGAACCAAATTTATTAGTGGTTACTAGGTGTGTGAATAACGGGGAGAGGGGGGATGTGGTGATGGAAAAACCACACAAGGGTAAGGTTTCATAGCCAATTATTTTAATTGCGGTCAATAAAGTTGTTTACCTATAAACAGTCAAACTGGCAAAAATATAACAGATACATTTATAATGACATTTATAAAAACAGATATATTTATAACGACAAAAGAGAGCGAGTGAATAGTTGCTAAAGCTGCTTATGTATACCCACATACCTCAAGGGGTTTGGTTCCTTAGTTTGGAGGTTTAGGGTCATGGTTTCATGGTGCATTCCAGTTAACTGACCTAATAATGTGTTTAGTGTTTCTGTTCTATCACCTAGTTTGTTGTGTAGTGTCTGTGATCTTAAAAGCTAATAAGCAGCCATCCAAGGCTCAACAATTGGTCACCTAGAGCAACAGAGGAAGGAGGACAGAGTCAGGAATAGGAGGAAGATATAGAATGTGTAGCCTCTATGAATAACTAACTGCTTTGTTTGCCATAGACCAGAAGAACTGGATGGTGCCTGACTGCAATTACTGAACATTTTGATCAAAGATGCCATAGACGAATCCTGATCAAAAGAGGGGAGATGCAGAGCAGACCTTCAAATTCTAATGGATTCTAGACTTTCTGGAGGCTTGGAGGTAGATGAACCCCTAGAAACACTGCCCTAAGATAATCTTTAAACCTTAAGCCAAAAATATCTCCTAAAGTTTTCTTAAAACTGAACAAGTTTAGTTGAATTTTAAGGCAAAATAAGTCTGCCATGAGTGTTACGTTCTTTTAAGAACTATCTATATGGGGTTAAAAATGATGGAGAACAGCTAAGAAAAGGAGGATGAGAATGGTTGCTTGTACATGTTAGAGACTGATGAATTGGTGTATGTATGTTTTGCTGTGTATATTTTCTACAATAACAGCAACAAAACATAGTATTTAGGGAAGAAAATGTGCCAAAGATATGAATAGACATTTCTCTAGAAATATAAATATATGATCCATAAAAATGTGAAAAGATGCTCAACATCATTCATCATTGTTGTTAAGTGCTGTTGAATCAGTTCCAACTTACAGTGATCCTGTATAAGGTTTCCGAAGAGCAGTTGGTGAGCTTGAACGTGGACCTTGTGGTTCAAACCAACCTTGTAGTCTAGCTCATTAACCCACAGTGCCACACCAGAACTTCTCATTCATCATTGTTGTTGTCGTTGAGTGCTGTTGAGTTGGTTCCAGCCCATAGTGACCCTGTGTAGGGCTTCCGAGGAGTAGCTGGTGAGCGTGAACCATCAATCTTACGGTTCAAAGTGACTCTGCAGTCCAGTGCATTAAACTCACAGTACCACATCAGGACTCATTCATCATTTGGGAAATACAAATCAAAACCAGGAGATACAGCCATTATTGTTGTTGTCAAGTGCTGCTGAGTCAGTCCCAAGTCATAGTTACCAGACCCAGATTAGGGTTTCTGAGGAAATCGATGAGTTTCAACTACAGATCTTGTGATTAGTAGTCAGTGATTATCCTACTGAACCACAGCAGGGCTCTGTTAGGATAGCTATAATCTAAAAGTTAGGCAATAACTTTAGTAAGGTTGTGGAGAAATTGGAATCCTCATACATTACTGATGGGATTATATAATGCCACAACTGCTTTGTAAAAAACAGTTCCTAAAAAGGTTAAAACACAGAATTATCATATGACCCAACAATTCCACACCTAGATATATACCCAAGAGAAATGAAAATATATGCAACTTGGACATTAATAGTATATAACAGCATTATTAATAAGATCCCCAAAATAAAAACAACCTGATCAACTAATAAAGCAGTAAATAAATGTTATATATTCCTACTGTGGTACTGTAGGACAAGCACTGGACTACTACCTGCAAGGTTGGCAGTTCAACTCCACTAGCTACTTCTTGGAACTTGAGGGCACTTAACAACAATAATTTCTACATGGAATATTATTCCACTGTAAAAAGGAATGACGAATGGATACATGTTACCATATTAATGACTCTAAAGCAAGAGGCTAAGTGAAATAAACCAGTCACAAAAGACCACATATTGTATGATCTCATTCATATGAAATGTACAGAACAGGCTAAATCTATAGAAGCAGAAAGTAGGTTAGCGATTGTCTAGGACTTAGGACTGGGAGTGGATGGGTGGGAGGAGTGACTACCAATGGAGTGTCTTTTGGTGAGGGATGATGGTCTAAAATTATATTTGTGAAACAATAAAAAACATTCAATTATACTTTAAATGGGTGAACTGTAGGACATGCAATTGTACTTCAACAAATTAATACAAACTGAGTTAGATTTTCTTTTTCTTACCACCAAACAGCACCTTCCAGCATCTGAAACCATCTTATTGATACAAGGGGCTTCAAAAAATTCATGGAAAAATGGAATTGAAAGATAATGAAAATTTCCCATGAACTTTTGAAGTCCCCCTTGTCTTTATGTGCTTGTCTTCCTGACAAGAATACAAGCTTCCTGAGGACTGTACTCTTGTTCATGCCTGTATCCTCAGAGCCAACAATAGAACCTGGCCCATAGAAAATACTCAATAAATATTCATTCAACACATGAACAAAGCAACTAACTAAAAAATATCCAGGGGGAGGGGGATGCTTTTATTAACAAAAACTTCACAGAAAACACTTGACAATGCTTGAAATAAAATGCCAAGGCATTGCGAAAATCTGTAGTTAAAAAAAAAAAAAATGAAAAGAATGTATCATTTAACATCCCACTCCCCAGCAATTTAGTATTTAAAACAAAACAAAAAAAAGCCTCCAAATAAATGACATGGTACCTTGTCACTGAGTCTGCATGTGACATATGACTCGATA